AAGTTTTGGCCCATCCACACCTTTATCTGATCTAAGCATCTGTTCAGTGATTGGATGGGTTCAGAGTCAGGTGTGAGTGTGAGCCACTTTAGGTGTTTACAGGTTAATGCCACAAGCACACAAAGCCACGGCACAAAGTTCTAACATGATCACACCTCAGTCTTGACACAGAGCCATAATTCTAACAGCAGCCAGACGTGTCAAACAAAAGCGGTCAGAGGTTTTGAGTCAAAGCCCTTCATTTTTCAGAGCAACACTTCCACATACCCTGACAGAGGTGACATTTCCCTGAAAGTGTCCTGACCTCATTGGAGTGCCTCAGTTTAAGATGTCATGAAAAACATGAAATGTATGAATCAACAGCCAGTTTTGTGCAGGAGATGAAGCATGGGCCTATTCCCACCCATCCCAAAGCACTCCGCCCCGCCTGCTGCACGCCCATCTGGCCCACAGAGAGGAAGAGGCGCGTGTGGGCGGAGTAGCAGATGAAGTGGGCGGTCCACCATGCGTGTGATAGCTAATGGTGAGGTGTGTGGCGTGTGTGTGTGTTTGGTTGTGCTCTAAAAAATCTGCAGAGAGAAGAAGCAGGATGCTTGGTTCAGTCATCCATGTAAAGTAGGCATCACAGCATATACCTTTATCTATAGTCTGCTGTTAATGGATACTTACACTTTAGAAGTCATGGTGGACTAATTTATCATAAGCTGTGAAATAGAAACTGGTAAAGAAGAAAACTAATCCAAAAGGATTTTAAAAAATCTAAAATTTAAAAAACAATTTTAGGATTAGAGCATTGTTTGCCTAATTTGCTGTTACCTTTTTACATAAATTGACAAAGGCCGGGATTTTAACGGTTTAATTTTCATGAATGAATTAAAAAAATTTAATGCAATCAAGTCACTAATTTTTTAACATACAAAGTTTCCGGACAGAACTTTAGTACTTGTGTATTTCTAGTACGCCTGTAAATATGAGGCACCAGGAATGTTTTGGCTAAAGCCAAAGCTTGGATTTATGGAAAGTTCGGTCTTCAAAAAATTAAGGACGGTGTAACAAGCCAAGTTTAGTTCAGAATCACATGGATGCCTGGCTGCCACAACATTAATTAGTTTGTAATTATCCAATCAGTCAGATTGGCTATGTTCTTAGAGAATGTTTAACAGTTTTTTTTTCTTTCTTTTCTTCATAATCTGTCTGTGGGTTAAACAAAGGAAATATTAATTTAGACCTTCATGTTTGCTGCTTCCATGCTTTTTCTTTTCCTTGTATTCACTTCTTGTTCTTTGGACAGGTTTTGCTGTTGTTCCCTCTTTCATTATATATTTTTCAAGCAGTTATTCTCTAAAAAGAAAAACAACTTCCGTTCTTCTCGGTAATATTCCATTTCCAGACCTTTTTCTGTGTTTGCCACTCTCATGTCTGTAAAATCCTAATCTCGCTTTCCTATTTTCTTTTCTGCTTTTTTTAAACTTCACTCCTCCTTTATCATAACTTCTTCTCATTTCTTTCGTCTCTCTGGTGGACCAAACAGTCCAATAACAGCTGGAGGAAATTATGCATGAAAACTCATCCGTTGCTCTCTTTAATAATTATCCAGTCATGCAATTAATTGACTTTCCTTTTCAGGAACTTGGTTTTTCTGTCTCTTGCTTTTGCCTCTTCTCTCCACCTGAGCCATCATTTCTTGTTCATTTCAGAGACTTTCGTTTCCCACTTCCATTTTTTTCCTGTCTTTTTTTATAGACCTTTGCAGAGATTGCTGTTATTGAAAGATATTTCCTTTTTTAGATGTAACTTCAACATTTCTGCATGCTCTTATGGAAAACTGAAGTTAATACAAATATGTTTTCAGAGTAAATAGCTTGGATTATTTACATGTGAGAATTAAATTTAACAATTTACATTGTAATAGACCTCTAGAAACCAAAAGATGTGCATATTTTTGCCACATCTTGCAGTCATATATTCACAGATGTGTAAATTACATATGTTCCTTTGTTAAACACATGAAATTCTTTCTGAATCGATCATGTGATAATTTTTTATGATCCATCCACTCATTCTTTTATGTTTCTACCTCATTAAGCGTCCTTCTGAACCTTGTTCTTCATCTTTGCTGACATTCATTTCTTTATTTGTTGTCCCCAGTTCTATTCTTTTGCTGCATATCTTCCCTTTCTCTCTCTGCCTTTCTTCCTGTCTAACTACTGTCGACTAACGACGACAAATGCCTTTAAAAATATTCTGAGGAAGAGCCAGGTTAGATTGAAATGTCAGTAAATGAGTCATTCTGACTCAATATCTCTTATCACCACCCTTCTTCTTTGGAAGCATTTAGAAAAAGTAGGAGCAGAAAAAATTCCAACAGGCCAACCTTGTATATGAAATTAAATGATAGCTGCAGTAAAAACAATAAAACAGTTTATAATTGTTCTTATGATCTGTGTCTTGTGAAATCACTAACACTCAGTGCTACGTAAGTTTATTGTATTGATTTAATGTACAGAATGCAGAGAAATAAGTGATTAGCTTGCATTACTAATTGTAGTTAGCATGAAGGCTAAGTATGTGACTGGTCACGACCAAAGCAGGAACAAGTCCTCCCAGGAGCGCTTTGAGCTCCTTACAGCTTTTGAAAGTGTGGATTTTAAGATTTCTGATGATGTCAAACACATGGAAATAAAAAACAAAAATAGTAATTACATTCCTTTCCAGCAGGTTTGGCTGTCTCATCCCATGCTTCTCTTTGTTTACTGGGAGACACTACCAACAACATTAATGATTTCCCAATTACTAAACAACTTCTTATAGCTTTAATCATTGCTAAGAAAACAATTGCTATGAATCGGAAAACAAGGATTACCATCAGTGTGACACATTGGAAAAATTCACTCATTGAACACATTTCAATAGAAAATAAAATAGATTTTATATGATTCTCATATATACTTTAAATAACATCATCTATGTACTGTGATCACTGTTTTCACCCTGCCTTGCTCTTCCTCCTTTTTCCTTTGTCAGCATCGTCTCTCCCTCATCATTTCATGTAGTTCCTGTACAACAAATTTCACTCAGTATAAATTCATTCATCAATTCCATTAATGGATCTGTCATATGTCTATATTTACCTGTATTTCATAATTTCTTGATATGTTATTCTTATTGCTAGTATTAAGATATATATTTATATATTTATTGTTGCTTTTTCTTTTTTTGTTTTGTTTTTGTTGGTTTGTTTCTTGTGTTCTGTTTTTCTTTTTTTTATTGCTCTACATACTCATAATGTCATTCATATTACCATTTCTGCCCACACACTCTCATATATACACACACGCACACACAGTTAATGATACTCATTCTCTGCAACACCATACCTCTGTTTTCTATTTTTTTTGTTAGCTCAGCGATTTTATTATCCTTTCATTATGTAATATGTCACTCTGTTTTTGTTATTATTTTGATATTAAATAAAATTATACAAAAAATAAATAAATAAAATGAGCAGTTAATCACAGTACATCTATTAATGAAGGAAAACTCAATATGGTATAGCAACTCATCCTTTCAGCTGTTGGTGTTGAGCAGCTCTACATCACAATTAGATCTACTTTATTATCTTGCAGATGGTGAGTTTCTCCTTAGTAGTACTGAAGGCAGTCCAGGTACCACCAGTGGTACCTTACCAGAGTTTAAGAACAAATAAAGTTAAAACTGAACCTCTAGTACTCCATTTTTATCCATCTGCCGTTTTTTGTTGTGCAGCTTTCGCTGAGCTCCAGACAGACATCCACGAACTGACCCAGGAACTGGACGGCGCAGGGATTCCCTTCTTGGACTATCGCACATACGCAATGAGAGTCCTGTTCCCTGGAATTGAGGATCATCCTGTGCTTAAGGAGATGGAGGTACGGGTCAGTACACCATCGGCCAAATTTCATACTGAAACAAACTAACAATCAACTTAACAGAACCTAAAGCTAGCAGCCAATACTAATCCACTAACACTGCCTTTAAGTGTTTCTGAAGTTGTTTTTAATACTCTTAAAGTGTCCCTCTGGCTTTTCCGCTTAATTCCTTTTCCATCATCCCATGATGGGCTTCATCAAAGGCAGGTTTTTGAAAAAAGTCTGACACTAAAAAGAGCCCAAGATGTCGTTTACCTCAAAGCAATCACATGACCTACTTTGCCTTTTATGTGTTTATCCCCATCACATTCAATGCAAATAACTTTTCAAGAGCCCTGGTGTCATCTTTAGTCGAGTCTCAGAGGAAAATTTTCTTCAGTTTTTTTTTATTTTATTTTTTTTATTTTAGATAGAGTTATAAACTTGTGATTCATTTAAATAAAATCCTATAAAAAATCACAAGCAAAAAAAATGCTTAAGAAATAGAAAAATGAAGGTAGTACAGAGGGAAATTAAGAGTCTGGGTTATTTGACTGCTGCCTGCATTATACATCACTGCTGAGTTTCTAATTGAATTTTTGCATCCACCTTCTGAGCACAGCAGAATGAAGATGGTGAAGCTGATATCTACAGACTTTTCACCACCCAGACCAGTGGAAGTAGAATTAATAGTATGTCTCCAAATACTGCTCTCCCTCAGACCTAAAAAAATAAATAAAATAAAGCCAAGTTTGTAATCAGCAGAATCATTAAGATGTAGAATCTGGTCCTGCTCCGTTGGCTTTGATTGGAGCGCTGACTTTTTGGAGTAAAAGGATAATTTGTTTGACCTTTAACAGCTTAATTTAATCACTCTAATCCAGACAGTGGATTTTCTTTTGAAAGGGAAGCTCTCTGGGTGGTCTTTGAGCTGTCTTTTTTTTACCTTTTCTATTCATTCTTCGTGATTCAGCTTTAGCTTTATTTAAACAAAATGACACCAAATGCAGATGAAATGACATTAAAGAAGAAAACCTGTAATAAACTTGAACAACACCACATCGCACCCACTTAATGACTCATTGTTTTCCAGCATATCTAGAAAATGCAACTAATTTCGTCTCACCTTAACTAGAATCATAATGAAGTTGATCTAATATGGTGTATTTAAGGTGAGACAATGCTAACATGATTTGTTACCCAACAATATTAAACTAACTGCCCAATTAAAGGAAGGGGTCAGGGCCACGTTAGTCTGTTTCCTCATAACTTAACAATTTGATCACGGGCTAAGCAAATGCTATAATAGATATATTGTTTAAGCTAGTTACAAAATTAACATTCTCACTGGACAAGCCCCCATTTGTTTTGCAGCCCAACTGGGCAAGAATAGAGTAAGAAACAACCAGAGAAAAAAAGTTGACCAGACTTAGAAGGCAACATAAAACACCAAGGGAGGTTGTCCGTTTGCTTATAGCACGTATAAAATATACATATTTTGGGCATGTTAGCAAGTCAACAGATTTTCCCGCCTCAGTGAGGTGGATTGTTTTATTGATTCTGCTGTTGTTTTACTGGGCTTACAACTTGAACTTCATATGTTTCTGTATAATTAATTTGGTCCATATTGTGATCAATATGGTAAGATCACAACTGGATTTTTTTGAGTAGTGGCAAAGTGCTGTTACTATAATACTTGGCATGTGTAGAATACTCCTCAACAGGCACCTCAGCTGCACACACACTTAAAGCAGTTTGACAGAATTTTGTGGTAATGTCGTAGAAATGTCCTCTTCTTGGTGACTTCATTGTCGTCCCCGAAAAGTTTGGATACGAAGCAGCCTAAAGTACAAAAGGATGAATTGCTAAAAAGACAAAAATGTCCTACTCCCGTTTCTTACCCGTACTCTTCACATCAGGTGGGTGCTTTCTCTGTCTGGTAAGCTGTAAAGTCTCATTTATTCACATGAGCCACTCAAAGACACCTCTCAAATGCTTCAATTCTTTACTCCTTATGAGTGTTATTAGTCAAAAGTAAGAGAAACTGTACAAAACCAAATTACAGCCTTCAAAACAGATCAAGATGTCAACCACAGACATGATCGGCCATTAACCAAAGTCCCTAAAGCATGAGTGCACCTTTTAATTTAAAGGTCAGGTAGGCATTGAGCAAAAGGGTGCTCCCTTGTTTTATTGCTGCGTCTAGACTTTATTCTTTGTCCCTCTGTATTTCCCCCCAGGCTTGACCGTATAATCCAATGGCCTGGATAAACCAGTGCTCTTCTCTTTATTGCTCTGTGTGGCTGCTCTCTATCCTAAGTTGAGCAGACAAACCGCGCACACATTGACAGGAGACCCAAATGTCCTCACATATGTGGACATAAAGCTGGAATCAGCCTTAAAATCAGGTGAAAACTCAGTGCAGTATGTACATGCATCCCTCTTCTATCTTTGCCTTATCTCAGTCTTTTTTTTTTTTTTTTTTACTCTCAGGCACATCACTCTCAGCTTCCCCCTCAGAGGCCCTGGGAATCTCATTTAGCACTTTACAGAGAGGTCCAGACACTTTATTATGGCATGTCTGAAGAGAGGCGGAACAGAAAGCACAAGTGGGGGAAAATGAATGAAAAGGGAATAAGTGTTAGGGTGTGTCAAAGTTAAAAAGATACTCACCAGCGAAGGATTGGATAAATTCAATATGAGACTTGAAGGATGTATAAAAATAATAAGAATGAGAGTGAGAGGAAGAATTAGAGTAGTGAAGGAGGGCATCTTCATGGGGTTTAGTGTGTTGTTGATAAGTAGTGACAGGTGCCAGCCAGGGGAACAAGCAGGGTGCACCTCTGTCACCAACTCTGACACACATATAATCCTGCCAGGCACTGATGTGCCTTCCTGTTTACATTGCTCTCAATTTCCTGCTTCTCTCTGAGTTTGACAGAAATGCTTTTCAGGTGGAGACTAGGCCAGATAGATACTTAGAAATAGTTCAGCATTTTTTTAAATGAGGTTTGTCTTCAGGGCTGTTGATTGTACCTAGGCTTCCAATTGTCATGTTGAGCCAATGTTTCAAAATGTCACAAAAAATAAAGTGCAAGTTAGGCTTGATTCCCTTGACTGGTTTGGAGCAAATAACCCCGGCTATGCAAAGCGTGTCATTTAATTATGTAAGCGTCATTATGTCAAAAATTTACACTGTATATAATTGTAATAAAACAAGGTGTAGAGGTTGCCTAGACCACAAATCTCAGAAAAATGGAGAGAGACGTCTGACCAGGAGGTTTGTACGTATAAAACTTTCAGTTTCTTACCACTGGTAAGACATTGACCCACCAGTATATGGGAGCATTTTAACACTTTCATCCCAGCCAAGAGTGCCTCTTGCTGGCCACCCCAGGCAAACTGCCCTCCCCTCCGTTCTGGAAGTTTGGACTGTGGCCAGTTTGCTACTTCAGAACTTATTCAGCAAATGTTTTCATTTCCCTCTTTGGTGTGTTAACTATTTTTTCAGAAAAGCCAAAAACCACCTCAAGCAACTATAAAAATGTTTTTGCGAAGTTGAAGTAATTTTGAATTTTGTCATTTCCTTCAACATTTTCTAATGCGATGCTTCGAAATACGCCTTTAAAAAAATGTTAGTGGAAATTCACCTGCTGTAACTCTGGAGGGCATCTGTTGAGCATGGTGCATCAAAACTATCTGACCATCCACACCAGTTTCATCCAATCAGTGGATGACTTTCCGAGTCAGACCTGGTCTGTTCAGGTGTTCAGATGCAGCAGCTTGAAAGAGGCTTATGTTGTCTTTGTTCTTTCTGTCAGCCCATGGCTGTCATGACCTCACATGCTCTTTATTTAATGCACTTTGGTTGCTGTTGTATGAAACCTCACCTCTGTGCCCAGACCCGTGTTTAATGCCTCCTAAACTGAAGTACCCCCAAACCTCAGACCTTCATCCGACGAATACCTTGAGAAATTTTAGTAGCCCTGCTAACTGAGTTTAACGGATTCATTTTAGGGAATTGTATCTTGTAGTTGCATATTTAATTGCTTGTTATATTGGATATTACTGTTATGAATCAGACATGTTTTGTGTTGAAATGAGAGCTTAGACTGAGCCAACCTACTGTACTGTGAACTTGACTAACATATGGAGAAAGGAACCCTGAAGAACCATTTCCATCTACTGTCTGTTCAACTTCAATTTATGTTAAATGCAAATGTGAATACTAAAAGAATGTTTTGTTAAAAGCAAGATATTAACTGCTCTCAATCTTTTTCAGAACTCTGCTTCAAAAGTTGTAAATGATCCCTTTAGGCTTTAGAGCTTTAAACATTTCATTAAAGGGCCTCCAGCTAAACAACTGAGTTGAAATTTAAGTTGATCTGAGCAAATTTAAAATGAAATCCTTTCAGTACATTACAGACAGACACGCAGACAGGCCAGATGGTTTAAATGCACGTGGCTCTCTGGCAAAGGCAACAATTAAAAATTCTTGTTTCATTGATTTTTCAACTGGAGAAAGGTCCAAGGCTTTCGCCCCCCTGATGTCAAGCAGACAATCGTGTTAGATTGTCTGCTAAAATCGTTTGACATCAAACACATCACACAGCAGCACAGCAGGAGGAGCAGTAGTCAATCAGCCGCAGCTTGGTGTTTAACAAGACAGTATTGGATCTCGGCACAAGCTAAAGAAATGCCTGCTTTCTGATGTGTTTGTTTGCATGTGTTAGTCTTCCTCCAGTCATTTTTTTAAAAAACTCTTTAAAAAAATCTAGTCTTCTTTACATTTCTTTCATGAAAATATTTTGTTGTGCCTTAAAATAGTAGGCTATATTTGTTTGTTTGTTGCACTATTATTCTTCAGTATAGTATAACTTGAAACTCCGCTAGTTTTGCTGAATTAAGACAAGTCTTTAAGAGAAGCAGACCAGAACTCCTCCAGAGCAAATAGTCCCTGCCTGTTATCACAGATGCTTGGTGGAAGTTTTTGCCACTACAGATGCCAGAACCAGTCAGAAGGTTTAAGGTTAATATCATTTTCATAACAGCTCAGGTTGGTTAGGATCGATTTGTTTCCCCTTTATAAATTAATTTGTCATTTTAAGATTTCCACTTTAAGTCCAGTTATCCAGGTTATCAAAATGTGCTTGATGTGTGGAAAATTAAACTGTGACCAAAAAAAAAAAAAAAAAAAACAGCAAAAGACAAAAGCTTTTGTATGGTATGATACCAACAGGTTAGAAATAGGCTCTCTCACTCTGAGATTGATTCAAAAGGAGCTCAGACATAAAATGGACCAGGAGGTTTGAATCTTTAAAGGCCTGGGCCGTCAAATCAGCCTAATAAAAGAACAGGAACAGGTTTATAGATGGAAAATGTCATTTTACTTCCATTAGACGCTGTTGTCATGCTGTCCATCTGTCACTGTGCTTTTATTCAGGTCCAAGCCAATGTTGAGAAGGCACTCACGCTGTTTGGCCAGCTGTTGACCAAGAAGCACTTCCTGCTGACATTCATACGTACACTTGAGGCTCAAAGGTCTTTTTTCATTGGTTTAATTCATATAAATAATTTGTTGTGTATTTTTATGCATTTAAACAAATGTAAGATTCTTTTTAGGGAAATAAACTTGGTAGTTGCACATTTAATTGCTTGTTACATTGGATATTACTGTTATTAAAAAAGCCCTACAACATTACAAACAGTAATGGTTGTGTTTGGTCATTAATTAGACCACAAAAGACTAAATTTATGATGAAAAAAGTTGCAAACATTAACAATTCAGCAATGCTAAATTAGCTGGAAAATTCCTCTTTGTGCACCATTTAAATAAGATTAAATAAGCATTAATATTTAAAACAAAACCTTTAGATTAATTGTGCACTTTTGAATTTATAAGAAGAAAGCTTCCAGTGGAAGACAACAAAAGGCCATTAAAGCGTGTGGGCTGTTCTGATGCGTTGCCAGGTCGTTTTCTATGCGGGATCGAGGCAACGTGGCATCTCTGATCATGACGGCCCTGCAGGGGGAGATGGAGTACGCCACAGGGGTCCTGAAACAACTGCTGTCTGATCTGATAGACAGAAACCTGGAGAGCAAAAATCACCCCAAACTGCTGCTCAGGAGGTGAGAAAGGAGAGATTTGAATGGCTTAAACTACACTGGTTTACTTTCCTTCTGTACAAGTTTTACTGGCAAACTTTACATAGGATGTCAGTTTTGTTAGAATCATCTGTTCAGTTTAAATTAGTATGTCTTTAGTTTCAAAGTTTTTTTAGAGATATTTTAGCAAATATTTTTTGGCTCATAAACATTTTAGCTGCAAACACAAACACTTGATATATTCAGTTTAAAATTTAAAGAAAAATGCTTGATCTTTAAAGCTCCTCGCTTAACACTGTTGAGTAAAAACAGACACTATGGTGTGAATGGCTCTGTGGCTTTGAGGATGTTAAGGACAATTAAATAATAAAATACCACACAAATTAAAAAAAAAATATGCCATACGTTCTGCTTACTGGCACATTATGATACATTTGCAAGAAATTTCTTAGATCACATTTTACCTTTCCAACCTCGCATTGCCTTTTGGATTGTTATTTGTTGTGATTTTCTTTTACTTAAAAATAATTATTTTTATAAAAACCATTCAGAATATGTTTCATTATCATATCTGGAAACTCACCAAAGGCTGTTGTATATGTCCAGAAACAAAACCTTGATCTTATCACTTCTTGTTTTGCTCTTTTCTTTCATGTTAGAACGGAGTCTGTTGCTGAAAAGATGCTAACCAACTGGTTTACTTTCCTCCTGTACAAGTTCCTCAAGGTGAGACATTAATTTTTTTATCATAATTGAGTATATCCATTTAACCATATAATCTGATCTTATATGGTTTATTGTTCATAAAGCCTAGTGTTATGGCTCAGTTTAGCGTGCTAGCTTGGGTACCTTGACTTAATACACAGTACACAGATAGAATGGCAGAAATAACATGTTTGTCACAAGCAGTTCAAGGCTTTGTTTACCCTGTGTACTTCATAAACAGTGAAAAAGCTGTTAAAGAAATACATTTTTGGCTGCTTCCTTTATGTCTGTGTCATGTGACCTGCTCAGCCAGGGCTCAGTTTCCCCTCAGGCTGACAGCTGTGTGGGAGAAACCTTGAGCTCTGCAAGCAGCCATAACACTAGAGGTTAAAAAGTATGATATTCAAAGCAAAGCACCAAGTTTATGAAACAGGTAAACAACTTTTCTTCCAAGTTTTATCCTCTCATATGATTCATTGGAACAGCAAGTAAACATTTGACAAGGGGGATCATCAAAGAGTCATATCAAAACACAGAAGACGCACTCTAGTGTTAGCATGCTGCTGCAGAAAACTTCACACACAAATATCAGCAGAAGTGACACGTAGATCTACTGAATAATTTGTAGCTATATGAGCCAAATTGAATGGAAACAACAAACCCAAGTGAGTTTTTGTTGACTTTTGTCAGATCAGTTTAGCATCTTTCTGAAACCCAGTTAGCATTAATGTTCTAGCAGAGAAGACTGCTGCAAAAACTATGTGGACAAAACACTGGCCGAGAAAAGAACTAGCAATAAGATGTATGAAATTGAAGCTTGTATCTGAGGATATTTTAACTCTATGAATAACTACCATTCACTCTTAAATCCATGTGCTGTTATTCTTTATCTGTACAAAAACCACTTTGAGAAAACACAAAATGCCTATTAGATTTTAAGAGATTAGCAAAAGTGTGAATTAGCATAAATATATTTTTCTTCATCTTCATGTTGGTGCAGTATCTAGCACTGTTACCATGCAGGAAAAAGCATGAGGACTTATGGCATAGAGTTTGCATGTTCTCCATGTGGATATGTGGGGTCTTTCCGGGTACCCCACACATACACTGAGACGTTAGATTTAAAACCATGGTTTTAAGTCCAAATCATGGACTTAAAACTTAAAACCGCTCCTGGTCTAAAACAACCAATCAGAGCCAGGAGGATGGTCTTAGCGCTGTCATGACCCTTGTATTCATGCTGCTAAATGTGCTGAAAGCGGAGAAGCAACTTCCAGTTTCAGGAAAACTTTTTTTCTGCCATCATTGGTGTCCATGCTTCTTATTGTTGCCATTCATGAGAGCCTCTGTTGCTGTGAAGCAACTGGAGGTAGGGAGCATAACATTCATGAGCATGATTGACAGTGCTAAGACCCTCCTCCTGGCTCTGATTATTTGTTTCTGACTAAACAGTGTATTTAATCAGATGAGAGCAGGTCCACATAGAGAAGGCAGAGGAGCTCAATTAGGCTAGGTTTGGACACAAACACGTCTTCTGCGTGTTTGTGTATGCGTGTGTGTGTCTGTGCGTGTGTGTGTGTGTCCAGGAACAGATGAATATTTTAACTAACTTTGTAAATTTCCTGTTTAACTATTTAGTTTGACAGTTTTTTAGATGAGAGGATGCATGGATTTTGTAATACCTGGAATTCAGAAAAAATTTGGATACAATACAATAACAATCCATCCATCCATCCATTTTCTTCCGCTTCATCCGGGGTCGGGTCGCGGATGAAGCGGACCGACCCTGCTTCACCCGTGGAAAGTAGTATTCCACTTTAGGTAAAATGTTTTGTTTTTGCCAAGAAACAATCTCTTCTTTCCTAACTTTGTCCCCTTGTCTCACACGTCCTCTTCACTGATCTTTTTTTTTAGCTCACATCTTCTCCTTCTATGATCTCTCTTTCATCACAGTCTTTCTTTTGTCATTATTGAGCTGTCAGTCTCGTCTCTCCCTTAAGGTCATTTGCCTCTCCAGAGGGTGTGGGATGTGGCACACTGCTGTCCTCCTGCCTTCATCTTTGTCTCATCTCTTTCCTTGTGCCTTGATTGAAAAAAACCTCAATAAAAACACATCCAGTTATTATTATTTTTTTTTATCATTTCAGATATTTTCAAAATCTGAAGAGAACATTGATTTTCATACATTTTTTTAAAGATTTGTTTTGAAAAGATTGAAACATTTACATGAAGATAATTCTGTGTTTTAAAACACATGACAAGTGGAACCTAAATGTCTCCACATATTTTTATGTCTTCTAATAACAAATAATCAAACATCTGGCATATTTCAATTCATTTAACACTAACATTCCAAATATGTAAATCTTAAAGTAAAAATTTCAGTTCAATAAGAGCAGTTGCTGTAACCTTGAAAATTTACCACTGACATATGTTTAAGGAAGCTTGATGAAAGCCAGGGAGTGTGCAGGCCAAAGCTGCATGTTGTGGAGGAGCTTCCAGTGAATGCAGAAGCGTAACACCCCGGTGTCTTCAGCAGCTGCCTGCTTAATTGGCCCTGATGCTAACAAGCTTCTTGAAGCTCATGTAGGTGGAAGGAGGCCGAGGACAAGAAAAGGTTGAAGGTGGGAACCGCTGCTGGTGGTTAGAGGAAAGATGAATCTGAGAGGGCATTGCCATCAGGTGTTAGGAAAACAGGAAAAGGGAATTGAGGAGGGAGAGAAAGGCAGCAGATCTGACCGGACTGGACTTAGAAATGACAAGTGTTTGAGCATTAAAGTTTGTTTTTGAAATAATTATCATTCATATGTAAATGATTTATGAAAGTTTTCTCTCTAGAAGAATTCTAAACCTTTTTTTTTTACATTTTGTAAAATTAGGACATTTTTGAATGTATTATATTGGGATTTTATGTGACAGACCAACAGAGTAGCTTAAAACTGAGACATAAAAGGAAAATAATGTTTTCCAAGATTTTTCTAAATCTGAAAAGCTTTTTACATTTAGCTATCATTAACCCAATACCCCTAAATAAAATCCAGTTCAACCTCAGCATGTCACAATGAGCAACAAATCCATTAATCACATGACAAATTAAAAAAAGCTAGATAATTTCCATTTGACTAACTGCTTTTTAAAATTTTGTTTACAGAGACTTCAGTGTTCATTTTATTTGTTGTTTCAGTTTTTTTGTATTTGTTTATTTATTCTAGAAATATAAAATATCTTCCATTTCCAGTGTCAAATGTTTGTTAGAAATTAAAGTTTATTGATCCAGTTGCATTATTATGCCATTACCAAGATATTGCTTGAAAATGGACTCCAAACAACATTATTGTTTGTCACAATAACGTTTTTTTATTTCAAACAGACAAAAAGTAAAAACAAGAAAAAATTCAAACAAATTATCATGCCATATTGACATGTAATTTTACATTACCTGTTTGATAAGGAGTAGGTAGAAAATATAAGATCTTATGATTTCCTTGCTCAGTCCTCTGTGCTAATAAAGTCAGCATAGAGTTATAAATACATTTGTAACTGAAATAGAGTTACATTTTCTTTTCATTTTTAAAAGTAAAGAGTGAATACAAGAGATGAAGAAGTGGACGACAAAAATGGAACGGCAACTGATGTTAAAGGGAGGAAAGTAGAAATGTGTGTGTTGGAGAAAAGGAACGAGCTATCAAGTATGCTTGAAGGTGAGATGGAGAAATGTGTACTTTCCCTCCTTGTTCTCATCCGAAGCAAAACACACACACACACACACACACACACACACACAGCCAGTCTGAAGTATCTCCCCGAGCAGCACACAGTCAGTCATTAAACTCTTGTCAGGATGAGTATTGGCCGTGATGTGTCCTCCTTCTTCCATCTAAACTGCTGCTGCATCAGCTGGGGGACTTTTCCTCAGGCCCAAGTGATGACTAATGACACTATTGATTGGCAAGTGTCTCTGATGGAGAGAGGAAGGTACGAAGCATACTTACAGTGTAACATCTGTGTCTGCTAACAAACGCTCAACAGCTTTTAGTCGAGTCCAGAGGGAACAAAGTTTACGTAACACAACTTTATCATTCACATTTCAAGACAAAGTCAAATGCAAAGTCTTTTCAAGGAGCTGTGGATAATTTTGGACAGGAAACACAAATATTCAAGATTCCATTTGAACAACAGCAGTCCTGGGTCATCTCTTATGGTTGCTCCGCACAAGTTTTCTATTAGATTTAGGTCTGGAGACTGAGGTTGTCATAGAACAGGGTGTCAGCGCATCCTGAAGTCTTAATATGTCTTATATTCATTAAGAAACATGTAAGTTGGCCTTAAATATGTTAATCAAGTCTTAAATTTTGTCGTGCCAGGACTACTTAATCTCCTATATTCTATGGAACTTATTTTTCTCATGGATTATTAATTAGATATTCGTAAAATTGCAATTACCTCCTGACCTCATGATTCAAATACAGTCGGACAAAATTAAAAACAAGTTTTATTCCAGGAAATTCCAGGTGTTCAAATACTCCAGCAAACTGTTTACCTCAAGTATTTTTTTCCCTTTCATCCTGAATTACGGATTTTATTTCCCTTCTCTAGAAAGTCTAGAAATGATTACAGCTTGAGGAAAATCCCGCTCTGCCTGAGCTGCAGATAACTCTGACATCCTTGTGCCTCCTCCCTCACCAGGAGTGCGCCGGCGAGCCTCTGTTCATGCTGTACTGTGCCATCAAGCAGCAGATGGAGAAGGGACCCATTGACGCCATCACAGGAGAAGCCCGCTACTCCCTCAGCGAGGACAAACTCATCAGGCAACAGATTGACTACAAAACACTGGTCAGTAAACTTCCTGCGTCTTTGGGCCCGTTCGGTCTCAGTCACTTGACAGGTTACTGAGCTTTAGTCACACTAATCAGCTGTCTGACTGCAGAAGACTGCTTCCCTGATTAGTGAGGAGTATACTCAGCTTCCCTGCATGGTAAACGTGGCACTTCACATCCATCCAGCGCTGTTTGGTGTGGGGATGTGATCTGGCTATGAAGTGACTCATCTTGTGCCCAGTGCCAACTATGTTGTCTATCAAAACAAAGCACTTGTGGTTTGGACTGGAAACACAATAAGGCACATGAGGTTCCTCTGTAGTTGTTTTGGTCGACACTCAAGTGTGAATGTTGAGTTATTTTGGATCCAGTCGGTCGAAGCAGACCGGGAGTTCGACCAAGGTTTGAAGTGGCTGCTGCATAGGTGTAAAAATGCTGTCCTCCACCTGAACAACCATACAGACATCTCAACAGCTGGCTGTTAGCATGAAGCACTCCTGATTAGGCCCAGTACCATGTGTCTGTAACTATATCCTTTCTGCTCTGCTGTTTTTTTCTGCCAGACGCTGCACTGCGTTAACCCGGAGAATGAAAACGCCTCAGAGGTGACGGTCAAGTGTCTGAACTGTGACACCATCACTCAGGTCAAGGAGAAGTTGCTTGATGCCGTGTACAAAGGCAGCCCTTACTCACAAAGACCAAAGGCGTCTGATATGGATCTTGGTAAGCCATGCAGTTCTGTCAGCAAGAAGAATAAAGTTGTATTAATCTATCTTAACTTTCTCAGTTCACATATTCAATAATGATTTCAAACTTAATGAACTATTGATGGTATTTTGTGACATGTGGGAAGAAAATGTCCATTGTTACACTAATTTTGTTCAACTCACATAAAGAACAGCTCCACTCACCAGCCACTATATTAGGTACACCTGACAGTACCAGTTTGGACTAATTTGCTTTCAGAGCTGCCTTAGTTCTCCGTAGTAGAGATTCAATTAGAATGGGTCCATGCTGATATGTTTTCATTGAACACTTACTGCAAATCCGTTGTGAAAGTCTCCTGTTTTACCCTATAACAAAGAGACTGAGGTGTAGTGACTGGACAGGGCAGCAGAGTACAGTGAACCCAATGTCATATTCAGGAAACATGGCATGTGCCTGTGGAAGTAGCCATCAGAAGATGCTTTTACTTTGGACGTGACGAAATGGAAATAGTCAGCAACAATACTGACGTAGCACTGAAATTTAAATGGAGCTCAGTCGATACTAAGTGGCCCAAGGCTGGCTGAGCAAGTATCCCCACCACCCTTTTACACAACCATAGCCAGCCTGGAGGCAATATTGCAGCACCTGGTCATTCGTGTCAGATATTTTTTAACTCAGTGCAGATCGCTCTGCACCGTTCACTCTAACTTGTTGATTTGGAAGGTGCCGGTTTCCCTGCACTGGCATTTATATGAACCCTATTCTCTTTGCTTCCAACTTCCCTCTTTAAAAGAATGGCGTCAGGGTCGAATGGCCAGAATCATTCTGCAGGATGAAGACGTCACGACCAAGATCGACAACGACTGGAAAAGACTCAACACGCTAGCTCACTATCAGGTAAGCAAACACACAAGCGCACATAACACAACACACTGAAAGAGATTCACGAGCAGGTGTGTGTGTGTGTGTGTGTGTGTGTGTGTGTGTGTGTGTGTGTGTGTGTGTGTGTGTGTGTTTTTGCTGTGCAGGTAACAGATGGCTCAGTGATCGCCCTGGTGCCAAAGCAGAACTCTGCGTACAACATCTCCAACTCCTCCACCTTCACAAAGAGCCTCAGCAGATACGGTGCGGCTCGGTTTCTTTTCTCAGCTCCTTTCCATTTAAATCATTCCATCAATGATTTCTCTCTCTGCCTCTCGTCCCGCCACAGGTCTGAGCTCTCTTTCATTCACTCTTTGTTTGTCAGGGTCGTGATTGGGACCCATTTTTTTCTTACCTCCCCACCCGCCTGAGTGAATGGCAATCCTTTATATCCATTGCCATCAGCCCAGGCCAAGGCTATTCCACAGCTATTGCCAAAGCAGTCCATAAATGACGGGCATTAAAGTAGACACCTTGCTCTCTGGCTGACAGAGTGAAAAAGAGAAAGGACACCTGGAAGTCACAGAGATAGAGGCCCAAGCATTGTAAGCTTCAGTGGAAAATCAAATTATTTACAGAATAAATTACCCTGTGGAAAGAAACCAAGAAAAACCTGAACCCTTATCTTGTGCAGAGTGGGTTTTGTCCATCCATCCATCCATCCATCCATCCATCCATCCATCCATCCATCCATCCATCCATCCATCCACCCATCCATCCATCCATCCATCCATCCATCCATCCATCCATCCATCCATTCGTCCATCCATCCATCCATCCATCCATCCATCCATCCATCCATCCATCCATACATACATTCATCTATTCATCCATCCATCCATCCATCCATTCATTCATTCATTCATTCATTCATTCATTCATCCATTCATTGTCTACCCTTGTCCCTTAGTGGGGTCAGGAGGGTTTCTGGTGCCTATCTCCAGGGGTACACCCTGGACAGGTCGCCAGTATGTCACAGGCCTTGCACCAACCACCTTCACCAAAAGTTTAATATTTAGGCTGGAAGCTAGAATAACAAACAGGACACTTACTCTTCTTCTTCTGGTATCTAAAGAAATTACAAATGAGAGATTTCAGGTTTTTTACTAATGGCTGTGTGAGTTTAACGTTTTTTTTTTACACAGCACTATCCAAAAGTAATTGAAAGCTAACCAACTAGAAAAACATAGAAAAGCCAAATAGTAACAAAATCTACGAGTGCCTATGTATTAACAGCCTCCTCCCAAAATGCTTACTCACCTCAGATATGTCCACCAATTAGGAGTTGGGTCAATGGGTCAAACCACCCAAAACTTAATTAGATGAAGTTGAATTAAACCTTTTGAATGTGACCTACAGCAAAAATCAAGAGATGTGTTAACTAGAATTTGATATCCTCTCTTTTGCGCTTTTACACCCAAATACTTTGCAGACTTGCGACAGGGAATAAATTTACTTTTGAACAGCTTCTCACATTTCTATGCTTCCTCTGAATTCGCGTTGGTGATAGTAAAACCAGCGAACTTTGAACTTTCATTGTGCAACATTGAACACAACCAAAAAATGGAGGCTTTGGTGCGCTGACTGATTGGAAAATTATCTTACGTTTCAATTTCCAGCTGAAAGTTGGATGATTCGAACTTAACCCTGTTAAGTTTTTGGTGCAGCTTTAAAAAATAACATGGTAGGCAGAATTTTATACCACAAACAAGTGTAGTCAAAGTATATGAGACTTTATCTCACACCAGAGACAGGATGTTTTAGTTCTGTAGATTGTTAGTGAGGATGTATATATCTATGTGATTCTCAGACAGCGAGAACATAAATATAAATACTTCTTGTTGATATTGTCCCAGTTTTATTTAGCAGACTGATACTGTTAAAAAGTCACTAATATCAGCCGACACCAATGTTAGAGCCACTATATGGTGCATACCTACTGTCTATTATAGCTGTGTTGTAATTACTTAAGGCTCTGTTTTTGTTTGAACGTGACAATCTGGGTGTGCTTGTGGAAGGAGCTGCACATGTGAGGGGAAAATAATCGGCCAGCCATGGTTCATGATGAGTTTAGAGTTAAATCCTGCTGACAAAAGCAGGCACACCACCCAGTCTTTCACTTTTCTATCCCGTGTTGTTCTATTACTCCCCCTCGCACCCCCTTCTCTCCTGACCTTTTAGTTTCTCTTTCCATTTAGCCGGCCACCCACCTCTCCCTGTCAGCTCCTCCACCGTTTCAGCTCTTCTTCTCGCGCACTTTTCCTTTCTCAAGCAACAAAAGTGATTGTGGCACGTATCGGCTTCTGCCTCCTGCTTTCTGGCCCCGGGAGCAACAACTACTGAGCAGATAATCATAATCGTGTTCCTCTGTTCACTCCACCTCTGCAGCAGCACCCCACACACACACTTTTCTATGGTAAAAGAAACCATTGCAGATATATCACTGCTTCACTCTAATCAGCTTTGACACTCACACTATAAATAATGAAACAGACACAGAGGCTAGAGGGAAAAAAGTGAGTGAGAAATATTGAAGGAAGACGGTGTTTCTGTTGAAACTAGGAACATCTTTTTTTTTTTTTTTTTTTTTTTTTTACAGCATAACATTGTTCAAAGAACTAACACATTCCTGGTAGATCATCTTCTCTGGTGATTGTCTGTTCAGAGAGCATGCTGAGGACGGCCAGCAGTCCGGACAGCCTGCGGTCCAGAACGCCAATGATCACACCAGACCTGGAGAGCGGCACCAAACTGTGGCATTTGGTGAAGAACCACGACCACTCGGACCAGAGGGAAGGGGACCGAGGGAGCAAGATGGTCTCTGAGATTTACCTGACCAGGCTGCTGGCCACGAAGGTACGATGCAGACAAGTCGACGGGCGGGAACATAACCTGAGATCGTTAAACTACGCTAAACTATAACTAATTTTAGTAATATCGGTTTTAAGAGAACATGATGGTACTCACGTGTTTTCTTGCGTCTTCCATGTTATAGTGACCTGGTCTTAGGTTTAAATCCTGTAGTAAAATGTGTTGCATGGAGCCAGAGTAGATCATCTGAATAGCTGCGTTTTATTACAAATGTGAGCAAAACTTTGTCAACATTCAACTGATGTTGAAGAAAACACAATTTTGCAATTACAGTAAGAAATCCACTTAAAAATCACCCAAGAATACGTTTATTTATGCCATGAGTTGTAAAAAAAAAAAAAAAAAAAAACACATCATGCCATCATCCTCCAACTTTTTTGTCTTTTCTGCCAGCAGCAACATTGCATTGTTGGTCACATGACTTGTGTGATTCAGAGTGTTTCCATTGTGGTTTTGGTGATATATTCTAATTTTGACATGGCCGAAATACCGTCTCAAGCTAGCACGAAAACTTTTTATCAAAAAACTTTTTTTTTAATTTTTTTTTATTCAAAATTAGGATGCATCAGTTAAGCATATTTATTTTCATAATTTCAATTTGTGCAATTATATATTCAATGGAAACACAGCTACTGAGTGTGAATGTATTTATATAGCACTTTTAAAAGCAACAATGAAATCAACAAAAACAAAATCTTGAAAAATACTTATTTTACTTTAAAAGTTAAGGAGAACAGTTAAATAATGAGGTGCCAAATTATTTAAAATTTAAAATTTAAGTAAAAGAATCTTACTTTTCTCGTGAAAATGATCACAAAGCTGAAAACTGGCTATAACAGCTGCTGAATTTCTTCAACAACATTGTTTTTGTTCCTATTTTTGTGGAAATGCAGATAAATTCCCAAGATACATATTTTAAGTTCCAAACTTCTTCTCTCTTCGGGAATCTTTCATCATGTTTCTCCATCTGGCCCTCGCCGTCTCCCAGTTCTCCATCTCTTATTTAATTGTAGACCAGGGAAGGTAAATAGAGCAATGGGCAGCAGTTACAACAGAGCCAGCCTTTCAATTTCCACTGGCAATAAGAGAAAGAGATTAATAAAGGCTGGGCTTGGGGTGCAGGGAGGTTGATACTGGGGATGTCAGGAGACAAGCAATTTGTTAGGGAATTGAAGATCTGGTCATGCATGATGAAAATAAAAAAACAGATTGGTAAATTCAATTGAAAAGCAAATCTCATCCCTGTCCTTTCAACATCACATTCTTTCTGTGGCGAGCAGTCTGGACATATTGTCTCTGCAGATGCTAGCACTTTTATTCCTGCTTGAGAAAGAAATTATTTATTTTTAGTTACTAACGCTACTCAACTTTTACTGATGCATTCTCCAAAAGGCAAAAGCTTTTTTTAAGCTTAATTATTTAAGCTAAATTTGACTTTTTTTTATGCTGAGAGACTGACAAAATTAAATATTTGTCAGTCTGTCAGAACTAAAGTCCATTCTTTTTTTTTTTTTTTTAAGATTTTTTTTTTGCTCTAGGGGCCTTTTTTTGATAGTTAATTGACAGGAAAGGGGGTAACGAGAGAAGGGGGAAGACATGCAGCAACGGTCGCCAAGGCCAGGATTCAAACCTGCGACAGCTGCGTCAAGGACTAGGGTCTCCATATGTGGGTTGTGCTTAACCCCTGCGCCACCACAGCACACCCCACTAAAGTCCATTCTAATTTGAACTAAACCTGCTGTCACATTGTATCATATTATTAAACATGTTGACATACATAAAAATACTTGTGTCTGGGTCTAAATGAAAAGAATGGAAGTGTCTCTAAAACAAATCCCTTCACATCTATGAAACGTGTGTGTGTGTGATTGTAATTGGCCCTCAGTACACACACAGCATGTGAATTTGAGATAAAATATGTTATATTCACTGTGTTCTGTTGCATCCTGAATGGGGTACGTTATGTTAGCCATGATGTGAACATCTGGGGTTAAAAGTTCAACGTCCTGTTGACGGTCTAGGACATTAGTTAATCATTTAAAAGGTTCTTCTGCTGTTTCGCTTACTGAGATGAGTGAATCTTCATCAGCGCAGACAGAGAATCTGCATAATGTAGCATGAGATCAAGGAACATTATTATTGCTTATTGTGGCGGATGTATACAGATTCAATGCTGATACATGAGTCTGCATATTCCATGGAATCAGATTGATGCAAAATAATGTGAAATGGCTGTAAGATTACACACATTACTGAGCCAGTCAGGTTGGAAATGGAACCATATCATTGGTAAGGTCTTTAGTTTTTAGTTTTGCCTTTCTTTTTCAAAATGTTCTCTGAGCTTAGAGGTTGATTTGATATGTTAAATATTAAACCTGAGCAGAAGACAAATAACAGAAATGTTTAAATAAAAAGCCTTTCCAATAAAACAAAGGTCAGAAGGATTAACAAGGCGACACCATCTGTTTTAAAATGTCACAGAGCTTGTCAGACATGAGCACCCAGTTTCTGCTCTTTAACTCGTCATTTCAAACGCTAATGCCAAACACCTCTGAGCCATTTAGGCCACTAATCTGTGTGTGAAACACAAACCTCGGTGCTCAAGGTTCAAACAGCAAATTAACTCAACTGGGGCTGAAAAAAATACAACCACTGGCAAAATGGTGGGAAATTCCGATTGTTGAAGGATGACTGGTTTTATGGATGATGTAATGCACATTGTGGCTCAAAAAATTTAATTACTAGCAGTAGTAGTGGGAAATACTCAGAATCAATAAATGAGGAGAAGAAAGGAATTAATGGTGTACAAGTGTAATTGTTCATTCAGAGCGTTGAAAACTGTTGACTCTGGCTGATTGACAGGAAATGTGGAGCCAACAAGAGAGCTGTCAGTTCAAACAATGGAAAGAATTATGAAACTCTAAAAGAGTTTTGAGAACTGAAACATCCTGCAGAAAATATTTTTTTGTAGTTCATGATTAAAACTCTCTAGAGATAATCTAAGTTTCTACATACATTTCTCTTTGCTTAACTCTCCGTGTTCATTTTTTCTTCCAGGGTACATTACAGAAGTTTGTGGATGACTTGTTTGAGACCATCTTCAGCACGGCTCACAGAGGCAGCGCGCTGCCGCTGGCCATCAAGTACATGTTCGACTTTCTGGACGAGCAAGCCGACAAGCACTCCATCACAGATTACGACGTACGGCACACCTGGAAGAGCAACTGGTGAGAAACAAGGCTGGTTGTTTCTTTAGACTGGAAGCCATGAAAAAATGGGTCAGTGCTAAAAAAAAATGCCCTCAAGTTGGGTTAAGTTTATTAAAATAAATTCTAGTGGGAAAAAAAGCTGTCTGTAAGAGGTATCGAATATAATGCTGTCGACATTCTTTGGCCGACCCATTAAAGTAAAAAACCTCCGATGCCTTTGGGTAACTTGGTACTGGTGCTAGGTGAAAATCTTTTCTCCAAACTACTGGAGCTCTGATTGTGTGCTTTGGTCAGAGGAGATTTTTTTTTTTTTTTTTTGCTCATATTTCTCACTGCATCCACAATCGGATCTCTATGTGAAGAGTTTACGACCTCAAAACGATGCTACGCAGAGAAGAACGTAGAAGTCAAACAGCAGGGAACTGTTTACAGAAGGAATAACGGACACCACCGTCAATGGAGCAATCTGAAGTTATTCAGCAATGGTAGCCGTCAGCATCATCTCAAGGTCGTAACAAGAAGAAGGAAGCAAATATAAACAAACAGAATCAATGGTAGTGGCTTTCTGTGGAGCATTGGCTGCATTTTCTGAAGAGAAGTCCGTTTGGATCACATTAACTTACGTTGCCTCGCGTGAGACAACGTAAGATGCTAGTCTTGTAGTCTGTGATGCAATGAGGTGTCATTCAGGCTGTAAATACCACCACTGCTCCAGGTGATTCAATTATATTTTTTGAGGGTTTTTTTTTTACTGAATGACTTGGTTTGTTTTGGGTTCATGTGTTGCTGAAACCTGGAACGTGAATGTTATTTCGGTGTGTTCTGCTCTGCTGCCTCCAGTCTTCCTCTGCGGTTCTGGGTGAACGTGATTAAGAACCCTCAGTTTGTATTCGACATCCATAAAAACAGCATCACAGACGCCTGCCTGTCCGTCGTGGCTCAAACCTTCATGGACTCGTGTTCGACGTCAGAGCACAAACTGGGGAAAGATTCGCCTTCAAATAAGCTCCTCTACGCTAAAGATATCCCCAACTACAAGAGCTGGGTGGAGAGGTACGTCCAAGGTGAACCTGAACAAACCCAACTTCAAACTTACTAAATCTGACCAGAGGTGAGCAACAAATCTACAGCCCTGAAGTCAAAGTGGAAAATATATCAATTTTGCTGCTGGAAGGTAGGAAAATGAGGCTGAGCTATAAGATCAAAGTTAATTACACTATTAAGCAGCTGTAAGATTAGAACAACATTATAGGTTGAACTTTAGCTGCTGCAGGCATTTAAAGCATAAATACATAGTTGAATTAAATTAGGGCAAAGGAATTATGTGCTGTAATTACTGCTGCTTTACTCCTGGCTTATTAATATAGATTACAGCGTTTTCAGGGAGCTTAAAGTATCAGTGAAAGCCGCCTTGCTTGAATTCTGCTCTGTAAGCAACAAGTAAGGACAAAAACTTATGAATCTCTCCACTTACTTATCTTTAATTCAGCTATAGGATGAGCAAAGGCAACTTTTCGGGAATCAAGTTGGATTTAAGCATCGTTGAATCGTGCTCATATTGGAAGAGATGGAGTTTTTAGGTTTTGTTTTTTTCCATTCCAAGAATTTCAGGTTTTCCTCTCCTGCTGGTAAATATTAAACTTGCATCCAGCAGATCTATTTCTTTCTTTCAAACATGTTGAATGGGCTGCGGCTTCTTTACCAGGTTTACATGATCGAACAAAACCCCAGACAACCTGGGATAATGAGCAGTTTAGTGATACAAACATCTTTTTTAGTGTCCTATTGAATGTTTTTCAGGAGCAATGTTTATGTTTGATATGATTGCTGTGCCATGCAGTCACAGCCATACAGTTACCTAAAAACAAAGTAATGCAGTTTTTATTGTCACTTTTATCGTTATCACAATATTACCACAAAATATGGTGGTAAAACTTCCAAAAGTTTCTATCGCTCACCACTATTTTTATTACTTCTATTTCATGCTATAGTTCAGCTCAGTGGTCTTGGTTACCTTAGAGATCCACCCATCTTTTCCAATAGTCATGTTTAAGCAAATTTTGTGTTTGAAGTTTTCTGTCCAGCTTGACTTTTGCACAACCTCATGTTGCTTTTCTTCCTTCTATTTCACTTTTGAAGAAGTGACTGCAGACACGGAGTCACAGAGAGCTGAGCTCCGGATGACAGCAAACATAACTCTGCTTGACCTCTCTTCTAGATATTACTCGGATATTTCCCGTATGCCAGCAATCAGCGATCAGGACATGAGTGCCTACTTAGCGGAGCAGTCGCGCCTGCACCTCGACCAGTTCAACAGCATGTCTGCTCTGCATGAGATCTACACCTACATCATCAAATACAAAGACGAGGTGAGTGCCCTCTGAATACGGAGCTGAGTCAAACGGAAAGGAGAACGAGGCGTAATGAGCCGCTGGATGGATGGGCTGCACCTTCACTTGTCTTGACTAACACCATGAGGTCATTTTAATTCAATTACACTGATAAGCAATCTGCATGGTGCAGGCTGGAAGGTATTAGCGCCATTAGGATGCACATTAAGGTGTGAGCTCAACACATTATGGACCTAATGAAGCTTTACAGAATTTATCTTTTTCTTTTTTTGTTCTTTGTTCAAAATTCTAAGAAAATAACACCTGTTGCCAGAGGACAAAAACTAAATTAAACCTGATTTTTATTTATTTAATTTTTTTTAATAAATGTACTTTTTTGCAGCTTGTGCTAAGATGATACCATTATGTGCTGTGTTACCGTAACGCTCCGAGGCAGAGGGAGGAAACGAAGACTAGGCAGTGTGAGCGTAATTAGAGAAACACTGTTTTTGACTAATTAAATGTGACGGATGTGTCATGAGAGTAAAGATCTGTTTAAAGACCGTAATTTGAACTGGCGGATTCCAACTATATTTTTCTTTAATATTATCATAAAAAGCTTTACTGTTTACTGGAGTCTGTCAGATTTGTCTGAAGTTTGTTTATATCAATAAATATTTTATTCTGCTAATGGTGTTTCCTTATTCAAATGTAATTTATTTTTCGCAGTGAAGACATTTATATTATCCCAGCTAACGTATCATAAAGCAGCTCTATATTAATATGTTTTGAACATATTAATGATTAATTATTCCAGGTCAAAAGATACAACTAGCTGCTGGATTCGTTTTGGCCAATATTATTTCCTTTACTGCTTTACTTTAATGAACCTTTTATTTACAAAATAACTGGGTTTATTCCCAGGTTCACAAGAAAGGATTTACAAAATTTAAAAAAAAATCAATATTTGTGATAAAAATAGCTCTGTCTCTAAGGGAGATGGTAAAGGTAGCAGAAGCAGGCCGGTGGTATGGGTGGGCATTGGGGGGCATCGCCCAGAGAGTCAGCCATGCTCGCCCTGGACTTGAAGTTTTTTTTATCTTTTTATTTATTTTTGTTTTTTCCATTTTGTGGTCAAATGTTTTCACTTTGCACTTTAGAAACAGCCCAAGCCTCACCCTATTAGTCTTTTTTAGAGGAAATCAATGCATCTCAACTGACGAGTTTATCATGAACAAAACTCTTCTTCTTTGGTGACTTCAGTCATTTCCAGTATCGTTATGTTTTTTTTTTTTGTTTTTTTTTAAATAACTGTATATGTTCTTAGATTTAGACAGCTGAATCAAAAATCAAACACCGTGGACGCTTAATTATTCCGTCTTTACATTTTCACATTTAGGTTTTAAAAATACTAAAACTAAAAACCCAACATGGTTATTTTCTTTTTTGCAAACAAACCTCATGTGAATTAAACACATTGTTGGTGTTGCTTCAGGTTATTTTGTTGTTTTCAGGTTATTAACCTCCACCGATCATGTAGGACTAAATGGATAAAACATTTAGTAACTGTTTTATCCAGATAAAACAAACTAAATCTACACTTTAACTTGCTCTACATTTGTATCTTTCCGTTGTGCGCGCGTGTGTGTGTGGGTGTGTGTTTGAGAAGCATGCTGCTCCCTCCTCTCTGTTGGTTTCTAGCAGCAGTATTACAGTAGTTACTCTCCTGGTTGCAGCTGGCTGCATTCAAACCAACTGCTCCCCGTCATTACAGCCTATTATCCAGATGTAGGCAGCTGCACGGTGCCATCGCCTCCAACACGTGCCCTGACCTTACAGCCACACACGCACACACACACACACAAACATGCAAAGATGTGCTGAAAATGCTCGCATGTCCTTGCTAATGCGCTTCCACACATCATTAGGAAATCGTAGACATTCGCAGCAGCTCCTCCTCTTCCTGGGAAAATGACCCGTTGGATAGAACAACACTCTGCCATGCGCACGATGTCAGTGGCAATTAATATGCAATTACACAGGTTCTGTGGGTCCTCACCCCTGAACCTGCCGACCCTGCCAAAGTTGTCATCAACGATGTAATTGCAACTGAAAATGTGCAAATGGAAGCAAGCGTCATCTACAGTACACAGACTTCTAATCAGCGGCTGTGCTCATGGTAACGCTCTGCCTTGTTTTGCCTCCAGATCCTGTCGGCGCTCCAGAAGGATGAGCAGTCCCGCAGGCAGCGGCTACGCGGCAAGCTAGAGCAGGTCATTGACACAATGGCCCTGGCCAGCTGAGGGCCAGCCAATCAGACACCTCAACTAGTGCAGAACTTGGCTTAATCCACACGCCTTTCCCTCTCCACGTCTGACATCCATTTCCATTCACAAAGTTTTGAAATCTGTTGTCGCCACGCTCGCAAACCTCCCCTCCTCCTCACAGCGGTGGGAATGAGGCTGGAGGGAGACGGGCGACGCAGCGGCACGCCGGAGGGACAGCAGAATGTTTGGTCACCACACTTAGTTTTACTTTCTTCTGAGGCGCAATTCTTACTCTGATCAACCAAATCAAATGCAACTCCTAGCCTCAGCTAATGTGGACCTAAGCTTAAACAGGTGGGCTGGAAAAAAAAAAAAAAAAAAAAAAATGGTTTAGCCGGAGCTGGAACCCCTGCGGGGAAGGTACAGGCCACCGCTTGGTATCTTTCCACTGCCACAGCAACGGTTCAGACTGTGAGTCATCGAAAATCCAGGAGATTTCATCACTCTACTTGATCCCCTTTCTGTTGCTGTTCTCCGTAGGGAGCAGGAGAGACGAAACATCAGGGACTCTGCAGAATGGTGGCAGGACATCCTGGCAGAGATTTACTTAGACGTTTCAGGAAGCCGCAGAAACGATGGGGACGGAGGACCGACCCGAGAACGTCCCCCGTTTCCGGTTTGGACTCTCCACGTCTCTATCGGCGCAAAAAACAAAAAAACAACAACAAAAAACAAAACACGCCTCTGAAGTCCAACGAAAACGCCGTTATGCTGCGTTTAATTTGTCATTGCATCTGATTCTTTTCTCTCCCCAGTGCTGTGCCACTTGTGTTACTGCTGAATTTGCACAACAAAAGCTAAATCAAAAGAGAGAAGAGGATATATGATTAAATATATATATATATATATAGATATATAAATACAACCCTTTGTTTTTAAAACGAATCAAAAAGTTGAACTTTTTTCCTCCATTTCAATGTACAAAAGATGTTTCAGAAAATTTGATATTTCCTAGATGAAAAACAAACAAAAAAAAGATTATGAAAACAAGGAAAAAGTCGTCTTGTGCCATGTTTTACTTTGAATGTCGTTTAGTGCAGAGAGACTTCTTTTTGTTAGATAAAATGTGCTAATTTGATCATGTTGTCATGCTTAGTGACTGCGAGTTTTAAAAACAGGTAAATGGCAGAAATATAAGAATATATTACAGACGCTCTCTGTTACCTGAGTTCTTGGCGACCGTTGTGTGCTGTGGCTCCGAGGAGCGTAAAAAGACAAACGATGTCTGGAAGCCACCGATGAGCCAAACCAACCTACAGAGCTTTTGTGTTTGCTTTTTTTTGTTTTGTTTTCTTAGAGAAACCAAATAGATCAGGATCAGCCGTTTTAGACGAGTTGCTGGTGTTGAAGGCGGCCTCATGCTGTGCCGTAGACCTGGAGGCAGTAGGTGGGTATCTACACAGATCCCTGGCACACTGTGCTGTGTAACTTCTAGGTCTTGTTTTCTAGACCTCCCCTCTCGTCTGAAGCGATTTATGGGCCCTCGCCCGCTCCACTGAAGGATAGTTTTGCTGTGCACAGAAAAGTGAATCAGTTTTGTCAAAGTCTGCAGTAAAGCCTGTAAAACTTAAAAGGCCCTTTTTTTTCAACTGTGAATGTGGTTTTTCAAAAAGATAATGAAATGTAGCTTGAAATATGTGAGTGTTTTTGTACAAGTTGAAGGCCTTTTTCTTTATGTTTTCTGTAGTTCTTATAGAGGTAAAAAGAACTTAAAAAAACATCCTGATATTTTTTCTTGCACAGTTTTCTGAAGCACATTAACTTTGAGTGCTTTGAAAGTCATTTTGTTGGTTTGCATCTTGTTCTGCTTCCGGTGCGGTTTCTACAGAGGGACGGAAAACGGAGGGAAAGGGTTGAAACTGTTCACAAAGTTCAAACATAACAAACTCAGCCATCCATCAACAGACAATACAAATCACAAAATTAGATCCCACAAATATGTTAATTTTACTGGACTCTTTAGAGTTGTTGGCGCCTCTGGTAATAGTATGTAAAAAGCTTTAAAAGAAATTCATCTTTTATTGCAGTAATTTGGTCCCACATTCATTTTTTGGGGAAAAATCTATTTACGTTACCAGCATATTATGTTTTGTGTTGGGAATAACAAATAATTCCCAAAAGTTATTTCTTGGTAATGTTTTAACTCTCCACATGGGATTTGCGTGGGAGAAACCTTTACTCTGGAACCCGTTAAAAACAAGCCAAGCCATGATTTACACAATTAAATTCAACAATGAAACACTTTCCCAGCTTAGAAAAAAAACATTGCTGTGTGGACAGGAACTAAGAAGAGTCATCTTGGGGTCATCAAGTCTCTATAACAACCAATAAACTGTGATCTGCTTCCCACTTGGTGATTTGGAAAGTATTCTATGATGTTCACTTTACCGTCCAAACCCACCAGTAAATGGTGGAGCTGCCAAAAAGCTAAACATGTGACATGACAAAGTATTCACAGCAGGTGCTTAAATAATTGTGGCACCCATTAATTTGATAAAAAGGTTTTTATTTTATTTTTCTCATTAAATACATTTACTCAAATCAAAAGAAAAAACATCTGAGATCATTCTACTGCAATAAAAATGGGTCTTTTTGAGATGGTTTTTACTTATCTTTTTCAGTAATAGTGGAGGACACTACAAATGAACCTGTGCAGTAAATAAAGCTCAATTCTTCTGCTGAGCAGTATGTCTCCAAAGGAAACCGTTATCAATACCTCAAAAACAAACATTTTCTTCCGCTTCTGCAGTGCTTCCTGCATATTTATTCCCCTTGAAAAGACATTTTATCCGAGTCCTCCGGGGGGATAAGGCAGAAACTTGTGTTTGCTTTTAGTAACATCAAACCAGAACTAAGACTTTCTTAAGAATCAAGTTTGTACAATCCTGCCTCCCACCAGTTGTGTGTGTTGGATCACCTGGAAAAGCACACGCGTGCATTTTATGTTTTATAATGATCAATTTGATATGCAGCGGCTTGAAAATCTAATAATCTACAAACGGACATTGACAAACCAAGGTTTAAAACCACATCGCAAATTTTATTACGTTTTAGCTGCATGTTTGCGCCAGTTCAAAGTGATAAAAGAGTTTGCTTGTTCCTCTGCTGCGAATGAAGAAGATACAGACTGAAAAGTGTGACCATAAAAAGTCTCCAGACGCTGTGAGACGCTTCCTGTGTGATAATTGTTCAGTCACAGCTGCTTTATAACAGGAAGCCAACATGTGTTCATTTGACACAAGTAGTGATTTCCACCCTTGGGAAAGTTTGTGGTCACCTGCTTGTACGTTTGAGGAAAACTAAGGCAAAAGATGAAATTTAAATATAAATGTGTCTGACTTCAACAGTGTGTCGGGTACAGACAGTTGCTGATGACGGCTTATTAGTATCAAAATGTCACAATATGCCTGGTTCGATCTGCATAAATCCACATGCAATTGATTTCTATGATGTATGTTTTAGAAAATCAGCAAATGCTCATTCATTCCAGCAGGGTTGGCTTTTACCTTTTTTTTTCTTTTTTTTTTTAACTCATACACCCATTCCACTAAACTGGATTCATAGAGCTGCTTTCAGCTACATAACAGAGTTCAACTACATTATCTCAGCTATTCTCTATATTTTCTGAAAACCCTTTAAAGACCTAGTGTTCATCTTCTGCTGAGCCTGCCATGAACCTGAAGAACTCTTTTTATCTGATAACCTGAATGTGTGTCCAGACACATGGAATCGTTCTGTATGTGCTTTGATACTTGAACCACTGACTTACAGGGTAAAAAAACGAAACATGCAGAGCGAGCCGACCAAAGCTTACAGTCATCCACACCAGGAAGGCAATCATGAGAGGAAGTTATCATCAAAACGTCTGATTTTCAGTTCTTCCACAAAGCAATTTTCAGTGTTTTGGATTTTTTAATTATTTATAAAATGCTTAATGTTTCTTCCTTTTTCTAGAAGTTTGGTCAAACTTAAGCATTATTACTTCCATGTACAGATATTCATTGAGTAATGAAACCATCTCGGGATGTGGACCACATCATTGATATTTAACTCATATTCACTTGTTCTTTAGATGAAAAATGCTATAAATTGTTTTCACAATCTTGAAACACTACTTAGGTTTACCCCTGATCTCCTTTGTGGGCAGTAAAAAAAAGTGATGTTTTTGTTTACCTATTCTATGTCTTGTTCTCTGCTTCACGTTGGGTTTAGGTACAAGATTTTTAAAACACTCATCTGAGGCACAGGAAGTTGCTTTGAAGACCATAGTACCTTTTCAGTTTTGATTTCTTTACATCTGTTTGGGATATTGTTCTTTTTTGAGAAAAAGAAACTCTAAAAAAGACTGAGGGAGTTGGTGTCTTGATAGCAACACTCTTCAATGTCCCTTGTTACCTTGGTACAATGTTGCTTCAAATAAAGGAAATAATTTCTTTTTTTTATCTGTCAAAGGAAGAAAAGAGGAAACAGACAAATAATTTTAATGTGTGAAATTACCAACATAGTTCCAACATAGTTTTAAAATAAAGAAGTAATTTTCTTATTTAAAAAGACAAAGGTACAGAAAGGTGAAAGTGAACAATGACCAACACTTACAACACTTACAACCCCACCATATATATATATATATATATATATATATATATATATATATATATATATGAGCCAAAAATAGTAATGTAGTAATGTTATCTTTTTTTTTCTTTTTTTCTTTTTTTTTATATTAAATAAGCTGAAAAAAATAAAAAAATGTGTGGTATTATGAAGTCATAACACTGGAGAGTTTGTTTCCGTTCAACCAAAACTAGGCTTAAGGGATAATTTTACCACATTACTCAGACCATAAGAGAAACAAATTCTGCTGATGTAAACACAGCTGTCACATGAACTTGTTCTGTTTGCAAGAGGAGATTTAGTTTTGCGACCAACTGAGCTAAAAGCAAGGTTAAGCTAGCATATTCCGAGCTCTGTTCAGGCTTGGTATTAAACATTTTGGGGTCATTTGTTTTTTATGTGCAAAGCTATGGACAGATTAGCAGCATCAATACAGTTTGAGATAAAACAGGTGAAACAGATCATTCCAAACATGTTAACATATTTTAGCTAGCAAATGAGAGCAAACGTAAAGATGCAAGAAGTCCAATCCAAAGCTAGCAACATGTTTGAAGCCTTTTTTTGAACAAAATTGTTTTTTGATTTGTTTGTGTTTTTATTATTGCTATTATTATTATCATTATTAGAAACAGTGAATTCTGCTAGCAGGGCTAGCTATTTGGCTAGCTATAAACTCAAAATTTACTTTGAAGATATAAAGCTAAGATAGCGCTTTAAAAATCCATTTGGCTCTAAATCCCAAATGTCAAAGCTGATTATTTATAGTAGTGAAATCTATTGACTAATTTTTCTATAAACTTATACAGTATTTATACTTACTCCAACATGGGTTGGAGTTTTTTTTAATTCTAAGCCATTAAAGCTATTTCTCTGTTTCTGACAACGGATAAATTTTTTTTTTGTTGCACATTTTGAAAGCCATTTTGAAAGTGCATTAAAAAGATGTTAAATGGATTTTAAGATTGTGTTGAGCCCTCCGGTGTGACACTCCTGAGCCCAAAAACACTCGCAGGTTTCTCATTCCTTCACTTCCAGCGTTCTGGCTTCCTCGCCAATGCTTCACAGACACAGCAGAGAATGTTAAACACCTCTCACAGATTAAAGACAAGCGACGCAGAAAGGATAAAAAAAATACCTTAGATATTTAATACTTTATGAATTATGATATCTTTTTAAGAGCTTCAGATTTGAAGCTGCTGTGACAGGTTTTGGCTGTTTCACACCCGTGTAAATATCCTGCTCTTTCCTATTTTGCAGATTTATTACTTGTATATAGACACTCATCAAGGAGAGATTAAACATGTTTTTTTGCTAAATCTGGATCGTCTAATGTTTTTCTTATTCCCATTCCTCATCCCTAAAATACCCTTATACTTGTGGATTTTAAAGTTTGAACAACTTTTAGGTTTATCTGGTGTGCCTGTCATAAGAGAGTTTGTGAAGGAAAGATCAAAAGCAGCACACATGGGACTTAATACCACATTATTAAAGTGTATAGACCATGTTTTTCACACAAGTAATGCAAAGGAAGACATTTAGAATGATGAGAAGAAATGTCAAGCTAGCCTGCTGTAAGCCTCTACCAGCATCATAGTAAAGACATCTTAATAGGTTGAGGTAAGAAGCTGTAAAGCTTAGATTCTAGAGGATTTGCCTCCATTCAGAGCTTCTTTACTTGGTATGAAAAGCCACACATCTTCTGTTTCATGTTAGCTAGGATGACAAAAGGTATTTTTGTCATCCTGTCAAAAAGGTGTGTGATCATTTTTAGATTTTTTTTAAATGAGAGTACATTTAGAAAGTAACATAACCATAAAAATTTTCTATGGGGCAAAGATTATGACTCTGTGATGGTCATTGTAAGTCATCAACTTTGTTGTCCAATGAAGGTCTTTGTCCATTTAAAAGTCCCATTTGTTCATAAACTCTAATTTTATAGCTTATATTTTGAGATATTAATTCGAAATGTTCTTTGCTCATCATGCCATCTATTTTGTGGAGTTCACCAGCCTACACCTACATAGCCTACACAGCAGTATGCTATCATCAACAAACTTCACAGTTTGGATGGTGTCAATTTCCCCCCTTCCCTTCAAATGTAATAATGGTCATTATGTCCAAATGCTTTGAGTAGATACACAGGACCACATGACAGGTCTCCAAAAAAATAGGGTCTTTTTCACTGAGTGCATTTGCAAACTATTCTGGCTTTTGCCTCTGGAGCAACATCCTTCTTCGTAGGTGGAGGGAGGTTGCACGAAGATGTGGTTTGATGAGCATACCCACTAACTCCTGGTGGGTGCCTCTCAGCGGGGCAACTCCAGAGGAAGAGTCTCCAACCCCTCCCAAAGAGGCTCCAGAATTGAGGTAAGAATAGAGGTGAGTTCAATTATATCTAGTCAGAACCTCGTAGCCTCACACACCAGCTCCAACTCCATCCCTCCAGAGAGGTCTTCCGGCGTCCCAGGTCCTGTAGCCAAAGAACAGACAGCCGATGTCCCTGCCTTCGTCCACTGCCCATCTCACCTGGTACCCAACCCAGAAGTGCTGAGCCTATGGGAAAGAGGACCAAACTTTCTTCTGCAGGCTGAGACGTTCGGGTGGTATTGGGAAAAGATTGGCCACTATGCATTCGCCAATGTGCCTCACATTCATGCCTGTCTCCAGAGGGCATCCCTGTTGACTCATATCTGGCACAGGGAACAAAGTATCCATGATTATTTCTTATCATAAGGGGTGTTTGGGGCTGCATTTTGTCTGGTCACTTACCTAGGAGCTGTTTGTAATGGGAGACCCTACCAGGGCTGTAAAGCCGTTGACAGTTTAGTTCATGGGGCACTTGAACTTTTCCACTACAATGAAGTGGCCACCTACAGACGGGGTTGCACATAGGAGTTTCAACAGTTTGCAGTTCATTCCAGGCTTTA